GGAAGACAGTTACACAGAAGTACACACTATTGTCTTTGAAGATGGAAGGGGAGATTCTTGACCAGGAAGAATGCATGTGGCCTCCAGAGAGCAGAAAAGCAAGAAAACTGGTTCTCCCCTAGAGCCTACAGAACACAGTCCTGCCAACACAGATTTCACCATCGCTAAGACCTGTGTGAGACTTCTAACAGCTAGAACCAAATAAATTAATGTCATGTTAAGTCACCAATTTTGCATTACAACAGCAATTGAAAAATTGAATACATCTCTATATGTAATTACCAAACTTCTACCAATCTTTCATGGCCCAGTTCAAGTGTCACCATAATGCAAAGACTACTCTACTGCCACAACAGCCCTCATTACTGACAACACTAGCAGAGATTCCTTGCTCCTTTGATCTCATGAATGTATATGGGGGAGTTAACTGGTAAGTTTCTGTCTCAGTCATTTCCTAGGCATGTGACTCTGAAGTCACTTAACCTCTCTGAGCCCTAGCTTCCACACCAGGGGAAAAAAGCCTGCTGTGGGGATTAAATACAGGAAAAAATAAGCATAGAATTAAGCCTAGCACACATGAAGCACTCCATATCCATAATAATCATCAGTAACCTTATCCTTGCCTGTTTCTCAGAGCCACGTCCATGTAGCAATTTTACTATCCTAGTAAACAACCAGGTGCTGATTCATACTTATTTCTTTTACAGAGGAGCCTCTGCCTCATGAGTGAGAATCTGAAAATAATCTTATCTCGCACAAATGGCTGCTATCTCAAAAAGCTCACCTCAAAAACCAAGAGGAGCATTAAACACTAGACCAAAGAGCCACTTTGCACTAAAACTTATATAGTTAATACGGCAAACATAGCGATGAATCAATAAACATAAAAGTAAGAGAGTATATAAAGAGAAACGATATTATTTTAGGATTAAAAGGTACCCTTCTTTCCATTTTCTATATTTTCTTTTGTATTAATATCACTAGCAATGATATTATACAGACTGTGATCAAATAAATAGCCCTCCATGCTCATTTAAAACACAATTTAACCTGAAATTTTCAACTTCTTCACTAGTTAAAGCAGCAAATATACTCCACTGTGGAAATCAAAGTGGAGATTCCTCAAAAAAACTAGAATTAGAGGTCTTATTCAATCCAGCTATTCCCCTTCTGGGTATTTTTCAGAAGAATTGAAAACAGCATTGACAGTGATATATGTCCATCTATGTTTATCCAGCACAATTTATAATAGCTTAATCTTGGAAACAACCCAAATGCTCATCAACCGCAGAATAGATAAAAAAATGTAATATATTAATACAATGGAGTACTACTCAGCTATAAAGAAGGATCACATTGAGGCTTTTATAGGTAAATGGATGCAAATTGAAACCATACTTAGAAGTGAAATAAATCAAACTCACATGTGTAAATATCGTATTGTCTCCCTAATGTAAAAAAAAACCTGAAAGAGTAGTAAGATCCAAAAGGTACAATAGCTACCATGAAAATGAGTGTGAAAGAAAGTGCACAAAAGGAAACAACTGGGATGGGGAAAGGAGGAAAAGAAAATGGTAAAAGATGATGTGTATGCAGCTACACAGATGTATGTATGTATATACAAGATACATCACTACACTACTAATCTCTGTAAGATCATCAAAAAGAATAGGACATGCTTTCACAGTTTGATTGTTTGATCATTTTTTATGCATAAATCTTGTAACCTGAACAACTACTTCTAAGATAACAATATGCAATATATTAACTAGCATTCATTTCCTACTTATTTTGAAATTCTGTATCATTTCTTTTGTTTTTAAAATAAAAAATAATAGAAGTAACAACTCTGCAAAAATTAACAGTGACCTTGAAACCTTACTAGTATAGAATGTATGATAAAACTTTCTTCACACAGGACCTTCTGCATAAATGGAAAATTTATATGGTATTTATATCTCCGTACTCCATTTGAAAGCAATAAAATATTGAAAAGTAGTAGGATTTGGCTGAAGATAATTTTCTTTTGAAAAACTAATTATAAGTATAATCATTTTTTAAATATTTAAAAGTAAGTCGAAGACAGCAATAAGCTCCAATAATCTTTTTGAAAAGAAAAGGAAAAAGCAATTCAGGTTAAGATGTTACTGACTGATACTGGAACAAATGCTCATGCGGATGCTTTCATCTCAGACCAATGGATAAGACAGCAACTGACTCAGGAAACTGATGCACAGACACAGGTGGTTAGAAACTCGTATCTGAACTGGAGACAATACACACTCAATTCCCTCAATAACAAAACTGCATTCGTTTATTGATTTATGAAGTATCAACTCTACAATGTGATGGACATAAGAAGATGTCTGAATGATAGCAAATATACAGTAAGCTTCAAATAGTTTATTGTATAGCCTTATTTGAAGAAATACTAAATCAACAAGAAAGGAAATACAGCACACAGGAAAATTTCTTAATTCTATTTTGAAACCCAAAGTATATTTAAAACAAAAACATTTAAAAATAATTTTTAACATATAACAAAATATGTTAAAGGCCTGAAAATAAAACATTATTCAATGAATATTTACTAAGCAATCACTTTGTATTAAACACTGAACTTACAGGTAATATTGTAAGAAATAATTTTTGGCACTGAAGGACTTAGCCATTTAGTGCAATGTATAAATCACACAGCCTGAATAGTACTACTATTAACTAACTAGGGAAGTCTGTAGATGTGAAAAGGAGAGAAAGAGGCATTCAGACAGGTGGTGGGGAAGGAACAAGGAAGAGGCATCTAGCTGAGTGCAGGAGGAATACAGCAGTCAAAGTGACTGAGAGGCAAGAGAGGGCTGCCGTCAGCATGCAGAGAAGACAGACCTAAGACCCAGGCTAGGAACCACAGCAGGGATGTGAGGCGGGCAGAGACAAAATGGACAAGTACAAATGGACTAGAAAGTATCAAAATAGACACACAACAGCACCAAACTCTCTCCAAAGTCATCATAAAGAGATCAGATGAATCCTGATCTAAGAAAATTTGAAAGACCCTGACAGTAACATATTCAGAAGAATGTGTTTAGACAAGGGGGACGCGCATCCTGCACATACAAGAAACTAAAAAGAGAAACTAAAAAGACATTCTCAGAAACATTTTGACTTTGTTCTTTTCTAGACATTGTTCAGCAAACTCCAACAATTATTGTCCAGGTGCCAAGGCAACCTGTATTACAAAGAGGATTTAGTATAACCCTACTATACTTTCAAATCTATAACTCACTCACTCATTCAATAAACAAGTATTTTTAAAAGCCCTGTGCACATTCTTGTGTGTTAGGCATATAGTAGTAAATAAAACTTTCAAAAGTCCCTGCTCCCACAAAGTACACATGCTAGTGAAGATGACTATTAAAACATAAATGAATACATATGGATTTTTAAATGATGATAAACGGCACAGAGGAAAGTAAGACAAAACTAGGAAAATTCAGGTTTGAAAAGAAGAACAGCACTGGGCATGGTGGCGCAGGCCTATCATCCCAGACAGACAGGAGGCGAAGGCAGGAAGACCACAAGTTCAAGCCCACCCGGGGCAACTTAGCAAGACCCTGCTCCAATACAAAGTTTGTTAAATGGGCTGGACATGAAACTCGGTGGTAGAATGAAATCACAGGCTTTAGGTTTATTCCTCAGCACCACAAAAAACAAAAAAAAGTCCAGCTTTGCCTTGGGTAAGGGAAAGGATAAGAACAACGAAAGGAAGAGCAAACAGCTGTGCTCACCGTTCACTGTCTCAGGCTACAGAGGGAGTATGTCGCTCGCTACATCCTACGTGCACTGTCACTGCGAACTCTCATGAGTCTCTAGTTTCTGATGAATTCATGTCAGTCCTGAGGATAGGCCTGAACAAATTCGCAGCATCGAGTGAACACTGCCCCATAGGGCTTTTAGTGAACAAGGGTCACTTCTGCAACTTCCTTGAGCCTTGGCAGCCTTATGAACGATGAACCAGAGAACAGAGGAAGTCCAAGGAGCTGCACGAGTGCTGGGAGAAAGGACATTTGGCTAGAGAAAGGGCCAGGTGTGGGCAAGGAAAGCTGAGCTCACCCGTTCTCTAGGAGGATTGCCGAAGAGAGAAAAGGACAAAAGACAACTCCCAAGGACAGGGGGAAATGAAGGAGAGCGCGCAGAGAGCTGAATGTGTGGGATGTGGAGGGCACTTCATGTGTGCGCAGCGCAGGTACCTCTGTGCTTTAAAGAACAGAAGCCCTTGATCTTACCAAGCTTTCAGAAAAAGTAATTTTTTCACCTGCAGTCATAATGTAAAGGACCCAATATGAATAAATGCCCCAAAAAGCATGAACAAATAAAATTATGATCAAGAAGTACTTAGACCAAAGTATGAAAATTCAGAGTACGTAGTAGTCACGAGGCTTCAGCTCAAAGTTTCTTAGAGTAACATTTTAAATAAGTATGCATTTCAGAAAGGAAGTAAGATGTGTCATATACATGAATCAACTTTCCACAAGAAATGTAAACATATGTACTACACATATGTGCTAATAAACTAAAATAAAAAATAAATTTAAAAAATATGTATTTCAGAGAGTTAATAGTCAAAGCATGGTCAATATTCTGGACAACATTTACAATAAACTCACTGAAAAAGTAGCCAAAGATGAAGAATGATTAACCATCCCACAGACTGCTCTTGTTTAAAAAAGATTTTAACCAAGGCACAGCAGGTAAATGAAATCCGTATAAAAAGTGAGAAGAATAATGTCAATCAAAGTTATCAAATCCTGCTGCAAATGTAAGCGTAATTTGTGATTGGAATGATTTTAGAAAAAGCTACAGACAAACAGCTTTGGGCTTTTTTTCTGACACTTCTTTCCCAAGAAAACATTCAACTACTTTGAGATGTCACATGTTCAGGAAAAAAACTGAATTTATGGAGGACACTGAATATTTTATGAGCAAGTATGACAGACACTTACCCAGTATTGATGGAAATGATTTCAATCAGTGGATTCTTCCTAATCTTCGGCAAATCCAGTCGCGCTCCCCCCAGCCGCTTCCCGTTGTCCTTCTTCTGACCCAGCAGTCTCACAGAGTGACCTTCAATACAACACATAAACACACATCAGCACAAGGCGCATGATTCCGCTTTAATTCACTGCTTTCAACAAATGTGTTAATGTCTGCATTTAACTTTTCTTTGAATGGAGGGAAAAAACAACCTGGAAGAAAGGTGATCATTTGACTCTTACGAAATACTGTCAGACAAAAACAGCCATGTTCAAAACCTGCAGTTAAAAATGCCTTGCTCCCAGTGTTTGCACATTTCTACTGCATATTGAGAAGTGTCCTCACAATATCATTCCACAAATTATGAACACTCCCCAGCACTGATCAGACACATGTTTTCAACAGGAAGGGTTTCACGAGGGTACCAAGTCTGCCTGCCACTAAATGGAGACAAAATTAAAAAAAAAAAAAAATGCTCAAAACAAACAGCAAATCAACGAAGTAAAGAATCAGAGAGTTAAGATAAAATTACACGCTAAGGTTGGATGGCGTTAGGGGAACTAGGGATTCGGGCCTGCTCACCAAGTTACACATCTCTAGTCCTTTCTTAACATGTTTTCACTTTGTAACAGAATCTGGCTAAGGTGCTATATTGCCCAGGCTAGCCTCAAACTTGTGATCCTTTTACCTCAGCATCCCAGAGTGATAGATTTACAAGCACAGATTTTAAAACTGGAAATTTTAAAAAAATAAAATTTGTAACACTTGCTTATTTGTACAAAATGACATAGAAGGAAATCTAGCCTCTTCAAAGAACAATTAAAATTAGAATTTTTTTTTAAAAATTCAACTAAGGCCTATAGTGTAGCTCAGTGGTAGAGTGCCTGCTTTGCATGAAGGCAGCCCTGGGTTCAATCTTTGGCACGCCCCAACAACAGGAACAAAAAACTTTTGGAATAATTTTAGACTTGCTAGAAAAATGAAAGGTTGTACAAAAAACTCTCAATGATTTTAAATGAATTTGTACTATGTAGTAGTCATCACAATAATCCAATTTTAAAGCATTTCCATCACTCCTCAAAATCCCCTCAAATTTATTTAGTCCTTCTCTGGCCTCATACCAAACACAGCACATTTTCTGAATCCACTGACCAGATGATGGATATCTGGATTATTTCCAGTTAATATCTACCATAACAATACTTCTGAGACCATTTGCATACAAGTTTTTGTATAGATATGTTTTCATTTTCTTTCTTTTTGGATAGTCTTGGGGGCAAATTATTAGTTATATTGTTAATCTATATTTAAAAAATATAGAACCAGATGTTTTGCAAAGTTATGATGGTACCATTTTATATTCTGTCTTTACCAGATATGTGATTTGTAAATATTTTATCTCCATTATGGTATATATTTTCCCACTTTCACGATGGTGCATTTTGAAAAGTAAATGCTTTGCAATTTAATAAAAAATTTACTAACTTTTTCTTCTGGTGTCATATTTAGGACCTCTTTGCCAAAAACTTTTCCATTTTCTTCTAGGTGTCTTATTATTTTAGTTACAGTACTCATGATATAAATTTCCCTCAATAGCCATTGTAATTTTTGTGTAATAATGTATCTAGACTAAATCTATAAGGCCTGTCCTCTCCACAATGAATGGCTGTTGATTCCCTGCTTAATATTTTTCCAGGCATGGGTTCCTAGGAGATGATTCTGTATGGACATAATTTTTGCTTAGTCAAAGACTGATGATGTTTGTTCAGACACATTGAGTCAGTAAGATTCCTACTATCTGCTAATAGATCTATATGAGCCAGGAAGAGCACTCAAAGTCAGGATGATTGTCCAGTCAGCCCAACCTCTCACTCTCTCTTGACCTCCCCCAGATCCTCTGGGATCTGTTTTGGATGTGCCTGCAGGCTCCCTCAGGGAAGTAAGTACAGGGCTGGGCCTGTTCCCCTTCCTGATAGGTACCAGCACAACCTCCAGTCAAGTTAAGGCATATGGCAAGCTTTTCAATCCTCCTATCCCTGTCTCACCCTTCTGAATTCCCAGGGAGATAAATCCCTAACTAGTGTACCCACTCACTACTCATACCAAACAGGCCACCAAGAGCTACAACAGAAATGGCTTCTCTTTCCCCTAACATCAAAATCTTCACACTGAAGGTTCCCTGTATCAACTGAGCCATCTCACTAGTAACAAAAAAGCTACTGGTTTTCACAGCCTGCCTCATCCTGGCTGAACAATTTTGCTCACAGACTTTAGGAGAGACATGAAGCAGCCTTGCCAGGAACACCATAGATCCTCACTGTTCTTAACCAGAGTACAGTTATCGTCATGAATAAATACTTCTCAATTAATTGAATGCATTTAGTCCATTTCCAACATAAGGCATAATTTGCTTTGAGCATTTGTCCAGCTTTATCATCACTTTGCTGGGGGGGGAGGAAGGGATGATTCATTGACTTCCTAATGAAATCAAGCCAAAGGCAAAAATCAACTACAATTTTTAAAACAATCATTTAAAATAAATTCAAATGCACAATTAATACTAAAGATTCTTACCAATTATATACATTTTTTTCACCTCCCCCCAAATTCAGAAAGATACACTGCTCAAATGTCTCCTGAACAGACAGCTTTCCGTGACCAGAATAAAACCATCAGTCATAGCCTTTTGGCAGTTATCACTTTAATAAGAAATGTTAAGTACTTCATATATTCTGAAATTTTTTGCTCTAACACAGAAACATATTTAGTCATGCTAGTGTTTGACAAACCAAATTCCACAGATTTTCAAGATAAGATGAACTCTTCAATCAAAGTCCAGTTAATGAAAAGGTAAGCAAGATTGACAAGATAACATAATAATTCTCTGAGAGATGCAAGAAGTTCAATAATGACATGTTATTTTCATACTAGCATGAGACAAATTTCACTATATCCTGCTGAGATTCCAGTAATATGCAGCTTGCACTAATAACATTTGATAAATTATTCATCTTCACTATCTACATGCAAATAAAGGAACATATCTCTGCTTGATGATATAATGAGTTATTTTCCAATCCAATAATTCATTAAAGTGTAGCAGACCTAAAAAAAATCCTCTTTGCTTTTAATTGAAAGATATAGCACACTGAAGACAAAGCAGGAAATAACATAAAAGTCACTTGTTATATCTAACCAAATACGAGAAAGAATTCTATCCATATAATAGCAATTTCTTTAAAAAGAGACTAGTAAAAGAAAACTTCTGTGATATGCCACCTCTCAAAAATTCCGTCTCAAAAGGAACTGCTGTTTCAAATTACTTTCTTAAATCTATGGACCAGATTATAAGAATACATATTGTGCCTCCCTACCTATTTTTATCAATACTGTTGCCTTAAAAAACAGACTGAAATCCAACAGAATAAAGCAAGTTCAAGGATGCTTCTTAAAGATACTTCTCTAAAAGGAAAGGGGGAAAAAACAAGGGCACAGAAGGAAAAAGTGCTGAGTCCTAAAAGAGGGACATGTCGAGAGGAGGAGCTGGGCAGATCTGGGGTGCCCTCACTGGCCTCTCTGCGTGTCTGGAGGACTCTGGATTTCTGCGCCCAGACTGCTGGAGTTCCCTCAGGCTTCCAGGTGCAGTGAAGGAGAGAGGTGGGTTTGAGGCTTCCACATCAGCCTCCCCATTCCCGGCTTCATTTGGAGACCTGCTGAGCTCCCAATAGGTGGGCTGGCCCACACTACCAGCCTAGCCCAGCCTGTTTAGCTGCCGCGCCTGGCCACAGGTCTGCAGAGGAGGAGCTGGGCAGATCTGGGGTGCCCTCACTGGCCTCTCTGCGTGTCTGGAGGACTCTGGATTACTGCGCCCAGACTGCTGGAGTTCCCTCAGGCTTCCAGGTGCAGTGAAGGAGAGAGGTGGGTTTAAGGCTTCCACATCAGCCTCCCCATTCCCGGCTTCATTTGGAGACCTGCTGAGCTCCCAATAGGTGGGCTGGCCCACACTACCAGCCTAGCCCAGCCTGTTTAGCTGCCGCGCCTGGCCACAGGTCTGCAGAGGAGGAGCTGGGCAGATCTGGGGTGCCCTCACTGGCCTCTCTGCGTGTCTGGAGGACTCTGGATTTCTGCGCCCAGACTGCTGGAGTTCCCTCAGGCTTCCAGGTGCAGTGAAGGAGAGAGGTGGATTTAAGGCTTCCACATCAGCCTCCCCATTCCCGGCTTCATTTGGAGACCTGCTGAGCTCCCAATAGGTGGGCTGGCCCACACTACCAGCCTAGCCCAGCCTGTTCAGCTGCCTCGCCTGGCCACAGGTCTGCAGAGGAGGAGCTGGGCAGATCTGGGGTGCCCTCACTGGCCTCTCTGCGTGTCTGGAGGACTGTGGATATCTCTGCAACCAGGGAGGGTCCACAGGTTCCTGAAGCACTGCGGCCTGTGGTGAGTACCCTAACCCGGCTGCGATTGAAGAACTGTGGAGCTTCCAAGGGGCAGGTGGGCGCACAGTGTCCCTGAGGCCCAGCTTGTCTGGAACTGCGGAGTTCTGAGCAGGCAGAGGAGGGCCACTGGTTCTGTAGGCCTAATGGCTTGGAGTAGCGCGGCGCCAGAGTCCCAGTAGCTCCAAACATAGAAGGGGATTTTCAACAGATCCTGAGGAAGCTTTCAAGTAACACTTGAAACACAGAAATATAGGAAAATGACAAAACGAAAGACCAAATTACAACCTCAAACCTCCAGCCCATCTCAAGAAACCGTAGGAGCGATATATATAGAAGAAAATATATCCCATCCACCTCATATATCGGACACAATAGCCACTGAAATTGACAAGCAACTCCAGGAAGCTTTAAAGAAATTCAAACTCGAAATAATCTCCCAGATAAAAGAAGAAATGATAAAAGAAATGAAAGAGATTCTAAATATATCTAAAGAAAACACAGATAAAAAATTGGAGGAACTAAACAAAAAGATAGAATCCCTAGACGAGCAATATAAGAAACAAACAGAATACATAATGCAGATGCACAGAGATATACAGGAAATAAAAAACTCCACTGAAAGTTGTAAAAACCGCCTTAATGAAAGTGAAGATAGAA